TGTGATAACTGCTATCTTTTTGTATTGGTGAGGCTTAAATTATAAAAAATTTTAGATCCAAACAGGTTTTTGACAGGCTGGCAGAAAAGGCGGAACAATAAAGAAGTCTCTCTTCTCCCCTCCCTGAGTCACAAGTGCCCAGACACCAGGAAGGAGCAGGGTGGAGACCTTTGTTTAGAGCTTTTTACCCTGTCCCAGGACAAGGAGGGCAAGAGCTGGTGCTGCCATATCCAGCAGAGCAGGTCACACACACATGCATCCCTTGGTCTCTGGCACTTCAGTGGCTGCAATACCCCACTTCTCTGGACCTTCCAAGTGGGCAGAGAGGTAAGTTCCAGTTCCTTCCCTGTCGCACCCCTTGAGTCAGGCCATCCTGACCCTGCACTTGCAGCACAGACAGAATCCCAGCAGCTTCATTTTATCCCAGGACTTGACCTCATGGGCAGCCCATGGAGAGGCCGGAATGAAGGCAGCAGTTTGGGAAAGCACAGTGTGGACAGGATGGTCTGTGAGGTGAGGTAGGGAAGAGTGCATAAGGGACCGAGTTGCTGCCAAAGCAGAAGGAAAATAAAAAGTGCTTGCTCCTAGGCTTCGGGAGCTACTGCCAGGATCCTGCCCCTGGCACATTCTACATGATAGAAATGACAGTACCCTAGGCTTGGGTTCAAGTCCTGGCTCTGGAACTTCTTAGTGGAATAGGCCTAGAGGAGTCCCTTAAACTCACTGGCCTCCATTTGCTTGCCTATAAAAATGGAGATAGCAACACCCACCTCACAGAATTTGTGAGTCCCACAGTCTGAACTCGGACCTTGCTGTCATTCCTGTGAGGCTATGAGTTCAGTTTGGGCTATGGTTTAAATTGCTCTACTTAGTCATTAGCTGTAGCTAAAAGTAAACCTCACTCTGCTTCAGTTTTCTCCCATAATTACAGAGAGTACCTTGCAAGATTACTAAGATTAAATATGCAAAATGCTTAGAACAGTGTCTGAGACATAATAAGTTGTACCTAAATGGTAGCTGTTACAAGTACTATTATTGTTCCTTGAAGTTGTCTTTCTTGAAATTTAACATCGTCTTCTACACTGGACTGTCATTCATTCTCACCGTCATGGATAGAGCACCAATCACATGTCTGACATTGTTTCAAGTGCTGGGACACTTAGAATGAATAAGACAAGATTTCCGCTCTCATGGAGCTTATAGTCTGGTGGAAAAGGTAGAAAATAAACATGAGAACATTAAGAACTAATGAGCACTATAATAACAATAAAAGGGTTTGAAATAAGGTTTCTCCTTGGCCTGACTGGCATAAAGAAGTTAGTGTGTAAACATGTGGGAAAAGAATTTTCTGCAAAAGAACAACAAAGGCAAAAAGACTGTGAGGCAGGGATAAGCTTGGCATATCTGAAGACCAGAAAGGCCCTCATGCTGGAAGACAGTGAGCAAAAGGGAATTATGGCTCAGAATGAGGTCAGAAAGGGGGCAGGAGACAGATCTTGTGGAGGCTTGAAGTCAGAGCTTAGTTTTGTTCTAAAAGGTGGCAGGAAGTCAATTTAGGAAAGATGGGGTGTGATAGGGATATGACCTGTGTATTTTAAACAGATCCAGAGTGATTGCTATATACAGACGGTTTGGGACGGAAATAGGGGTCATAAGCAAGAAGACAAATTAGGAGATAAGATGAAAAATGACGTGGCTTAATTAACCTAGTGTGATAGCATGGGGGTGGAAAAAACAGTTGGTACTGTGTATATTTTAGAGATAGCATTGACAGAATTTTGATGGACTGGATGCAGGAAATAGTAGAGTGGTTTTAAGGAGGTCTCTTAGATTTCTGGCTTAAATTAGATGGATAGCAGGGACACCATGATAATAAGATGGATTAATGTCTACTGGACACCTAGTACAGTCATGCACTGTTCGCAAACAAGCCTGCCTTTAACATCATCAGTCCATTTTTAGGCTCTGTTCTCAAATATGCCTGCTAGGGAGGTATTAATATTATTTACAAATGACAAAATCATGCACAGCAGGATGAACTAATTCCTCCCCAAAACACACAGTTAGACATGGGGAGTTGGGTGCAAACCCAAAGGGCCCATCCCCAAAGTCTGTAGTCCTAATCACCATTTTATACTACCTCTTAGATGAGTGGAATGACCCCAGAAGCACAGACACCCTATTTGTATTGTAGGTAGTGCTGGCCTGCCGCACAGCAAGCCCTTAACAAGTTTGTTGAATGAATTAAGTGAAAACACCTTGTAAATTGAGAAACACTCCATAAATATTAACAAATTCTTCAGATTACAGGAACCCTGTTCATCTCAAATTTTTTCTAACACTTAACAGATCTTCCTAGGAAAAGGAAATGAACAGAGGTAGGACACTTACTTCATGGCTGAATTCCTTGAACTTAGAGGCAAACAGTAGCTTGACAACCTGGCCTGGAATGGCTTCAAAGGGAGGTTTAGGCTAAAGAAACTGGTGGCTGTATCTTGCCCATTATGGTGTCCAGAAACGTTGAGAATGCTCCAGTGTTCCCAAGAAACTACTTTTTCTTCTATCTTCCTTTCTTACCTATTTTATTTAATTGTCAGTGAATGAATACTTCTCAAGCTTTTTACTCATACAGGTGGGAAAACATTTAAAATATGGTGGATTTGAAAAAGTCCAGTATGAATAGTCTTTCTGAATGATGATCTGATCTATATATTCAAGGCCAGAGAATAGCTCTGCAATTTCATGCACCCACTTCTCCCTAGAATAATTTCTTTGGGTATATCTCCAGAAGTCCCAGCAGGAAGGCTGTGTGGAATTTTCCCCATAAAATTCAAAACTGTGGGCTATTCTTACACTGCTTCACATACTGAGGAGGAGGACAGGACAACGACAGACTAAGGAAGTGAGGGCTAGAAGAGACTTGTAATCAGACTTTAAGATCTTACAGTTAGCAGTTAGCAGACACTTTACACTATATCCCTGAGGCCTTCTCACACTTTTACAAAGGAGCAAATCCCTTTTTAATGAACCTCCACTCCTTCTATTAATGAATAACATTAATTTATTTATTTTAACTACAGCTAACAGTGTTCTTACATATATTTATAGCTTACTTGTTCCCCATTAAATACCTCTAAGGGAAACATTCTGATTAACCCTAGGGGAACAAATGGAGTTTTTTTTTTTTTTAATTTTTTAAAAAAGATTTATTTATTTATGCATACAAGAGCTGGGGCACAGGCCAGAGATGCGCAAGGTGAGCGGATTCACCAGAGACAGTGGGGAACAGAACAGGCAGAGTGAATGAAATACATTGCTGAGGGGAGCAGTGGGCAAGACTGGAGAGGTCTGGTGCACCATGTGGGCAGCTGTGGATTGCTTCACAGTGTGGTGCTTAATCCTTTGCACCACCAGGGAGGGCACCCCCCTCCTTTTTTTTTTTTTTAAAGACAAGTTCTAAGCTCTGGGAAACCTTTGACTCAAATCTGTGGAGCCCTTGCTGAGGCGAGGCCTGTTGAGTGCTTTATCTACCCCCATTACCTAAGTGTTGGTATTAGACCCATTTAAGGGATGCGTAAACTGAGTGATGAGGAAGGGATTTGACCAGAGTCTCACAGCCACAACTCAAATCTGGCTGTTACCCAAGGTCATCCCTCTTCTAAAGAGTGAATGGATGGGACCCAGGAAGGTTCTGTGGGATGGGGTGGAGCTGATGGGAGGGGCATGCTTTATAGAGAAGCCATTCACAAACCTTCACCTCTCCGAGGCTAAAAAAGGCGTTCTTGCAGTCCTTAAGTCCTTTCCTAACTTCCTGTGGGTGGCAGGGGTGCACATGGCAGGACTGGACCCAGCTTTGCCTCACCCCCACCTGAGGAGCCAGCGCCAAGCAGCGCCTGGGTGCCGCCCCACCTCAGTCCGCAGGGGTGGCAGCAGCGCCAGCTCCAGGCTCAAGCCAGCGACCACACAGTAACCCGAGCTCACAGTCGCCTCCATCTTACATTTGGGACCATTATATTTTCCCCGTTCTTACAAACAGTTCACAGAGCGCGATCCCCACCACAACGCCCCTGCCCCTGCATCTCCTCCCTAAATCGCCACCGCCAAGATCCAAAGTGGGCGTAGGATGCAAAGTCGAAGATTTGGACCCGGCAGTTCCAGGTCCGGGTCCCTCAGAAAGACGGGCATGGGGTAGGGTGGGGTGGTTTGGATATGTGTTTGGGTAAGGGAGGGGGTTCCCTCTCATCTGGAAGAATCTAAGGGCTTTGGCAGGGCTGCAGCCACCACCTTGGCCGGACAGAACCCTCCGGGCCCCACAGACATCCTTCGCTGCTCACAGAGAGCAATGGAAGCACCGGAGAAAAGGGGGATAGGCGTGCCAGTGTGAGTGTGTGTGTGTGTATACGTGTGTGCGCGCGCGCACGCGCGTGCAATCATTTTTAAAATCCGGGGTGTGATTCCGCAAAGAAGGTCCAGGAGATGGGGCATCGCCAGTGTGGACAGAGGCTTTGTGTCCAAACAGGCAGCACAGGGAACAACGCTGGGGGCGGAGGTTCCTTCGGGCGGGGACGACTCAAGGAGTTGTGTCTGCGCTTTGGCCGGGGAACTGGATTCCTCAACCGGACGGGACGCCCGGGTGCAGGAAGCTCCAGGTTCCCGACTCCGGACCCAGGGAAGGGTCCGTGTACCCCAGCCCGGACCGGTGCGACACGGGAAACACCCCCCGGGGATGCTCCAAGCCGAGCACCGCGCACTGGCTGCAGCCCAGCTCCTAGCATCCTAAGGGGGCCCCTGCCTGCCGCTCACCAGGTCCCACCCAGAGCGCCGACACCGCGACGCCGGGCGGGGGTACTTCCCCGGCGGAGCTCCGAGCAGCGGGTTACGCCCCCCACCCCCAACCTGGCATCCCACAGCCTCCCCAGCATGCGGGAGCGCGGGTGCAGGGAAGCGGCCGCGCATCCACACTCCCGTGCGCTGCAGCGGTCCCTCCCCCAGGCACTCACAAAATTGTCCCCGCAGCCGTTGTCCGGACACAGCACGTAGAAGGAAACGCCGGGGTCGGCGTAGAAATCCATCCTGCGCTCGGTCTCCTCGGTGGCGATGAGCTCGAAGGGCGTGTTGGAGCACCATTTCTCCGCAACGTCAGCCAGCTGCTGGAAATCCATCCTGGTCCGCCGCGCCCGCAGCTCGCTCAGCCTCCTCGCGCGCCGCCCGCCGCCCGCCCCCTCCGCCTCCCGCCCGCCCGCCCGGCCACCCTCCCCTCGCCTCCCGCGCCCCCCTTCCGGCGGGCCGCGCGCGGGCCTGCGGCTCTCGGGCAGGCGGCACGGCCGGGCAGCGCGGGCTCCCGTCGGCCCCGGCTCCTCCCGGCGGGGACTGTTTACATGCTGTGTGGAGCCGGCGGGCGGTGGCCAGGGACCGCGCGGCGCCGCGCCCGGCCCCTCCCCGCCCCGCCTTCCCGCCCGCCCCCTTTCGGGCCGCCGGGGAGGCTGGCGCCGCCGGGCGGGGAAAAGGCTGCGGCGGGGCGGGGCGGGGCGGGGCGCGCGGGAGGGGCCGGCGCTCGGCGGGCGCCTCGGTGGCCTCCCGGCTTTTTCAGAAACCCACGCGGAGCATCCCCCGGTCCTGGCGGGCCCGGAGCCGCCCCGGCCCGTGACGTCACGGCCCCCAGCCAATCACGGGAGCGCGAGCCGGGTGTCGAGGCCTGCGCGCCCGGTGACGTCACGGCGCCGGGCCGAAATCCGAGACGCGGCGGGCTACCCTGAAATCCGCAAACTCCGCCGGAGCGTGGGTTAGCGCGCGCCCGGAGTTGGGGTGGCGGGGAGCGGCTTCCTGAAGGCGCCCTAAACGCGGGGGCGCCCACGGGATTGTAGATAACTTGGACCTTGTCTGAGTTGGCAGTGGGGGAACTGAGAAAATCTAGGAGAAAGGGTTTTTCTTTTTCCGAAACCAAAGTCTTGTCCTCCGATTGATGTAAAGAAATGTTTCCCATAAATACAGTTAGTGGACACCGGTATAAATATCCACTTGGAAGGGAAGATAAAAAGCTTTGAGGGATTTTTTTTTGTGTGTTTACTGTAAGGCTATACTGTAAAGTAGAAACACGCCTTGTAAGACTAGCTTTAATATTATTTAGTTTTAGTTCAAATTGCATAACCTAAAGCGATCAACTGCTAGTTTGGACGAGAACGTGTATTTTAAAACGAGAGGACATGGTCCAGCAGTTGCACCTGTTGAGTGCTCGCTGGCTTCAGGGACTGGACAGGCATTACAGGATTGCAGAAAACGCAGTGGGTCTGAACCAGGCACCATGCCAGCCCTAGAGATATAAATCGGAGTAGTCACATGTAGTTCCACCCCTGGTGGTGCAGTGGTTGAGCGCTGGGCTCGAAGTTACCCGCAGCCTCTGCAGCACCGGTTTGATCCCTGGCCACCGGCGAGGGTCCCACATGGTGCGCAGACCTCTCCTGCTGCCCGCTGCTCCCCTCAGCAGTGTATTTCTTTGTCAGCCTGCCTGTTCTGTTCCCCGCTCTGACTCTGGTGAATTCTCTCACCTTCCCGCGCTTCTGACTGTACCTAGTGCTTGTATAAATAAATAAATAAATCTTTAAAAAAAATAAAATATGGACCAGTCTCATGGGAGTAAAGTGGTATCTCATTGTGGCTTTGATTTGCATTTCCCTGATTATCAGTGACGTTGAACATTTTTTCATGTGCCTGTTGGTCATCTGTATGTCTTCTAAGAAGAAGTGTCTATCTCTTCTGTCCATTTTTTTCTTGAGTTTTTAGTTTTCTTTATGTTGAGTTGAAATGCATATAATTTATCCCATTCAGCAGGGTGTCTTTTTGCTTTTTTTTAAGATTTATTTTTATTTATTTATGCATACAAGAACTGTGCGCAGGCAGAGGTTTGGGGGGTAAGAGGATTTACCAGAGGCAGAGTGGGGAGCAGAACCGGAGTGTACTGAAATGCACACTGAGGGGAGCAGCCAGCAAGACAGGAGAAATGTCTGCTGCACCATGTGGGTCAGCTCCCTGGCAGGGGATCAAACTTAGGCCTCAGCTATGATAGCCTGAGACTCAACCCCTAGGCCATCGGGGAGGCCCAGGGTGTCTTTTTGTCCTAATGATAGTTTCTTTCACTGTACTGAAGCATTTTTGTTTGATGTAGTTCCATTTGTTTATTTTTGCTTTTGTTTTCCTTACCATTGGAGTTGATTCCAAAGACGTCATTGACACCAATGTTATGGAGTGTTTTGCCTGTTTTCATCCTTGTATTTTATTGGTTTCCAGTCTTACATCCAAGTTTTTAACCCATTTGGGGTTAATTTTTGTGTTTATACACCTGTTTTAGTTTCATTTTTCAACAATATAAGAGACTTTTCTTTCTCCATTGTATACTCTTGGATCCTTTTCATAGATTAATTCCCCAAATATAATGCAGATTTATTTCTATTAGTTTGTCTATTTTAATTTCAATACCATACTATTTTATTACTATAGTATTATAGTATAGTTTGACGTCTGGGAGCATGATCTCTCCATTCCTCTTCTTTTTGTCAGGATTACTTTGGCTATTCTGGGCCTTCTGTGGTTTCATGTAAGTCTCATTAATATTTACTCTATTTCATTGATAAATTTCATTACAACTTTGATAGGGATTGCATTGAGTCTTGCAGAGGCAGGATGGGCCACTGAGCAGGTTTTCTGATCTGGAAGATGGGGTAAAGGAGGAGTCCTGGAGCCCTAGGTGGCTTTCTCAGGCTTTTATTGAGCTCTTACATGTAATGCAGCAACCAGGTACATGGCAGGCAGGAGTGCAGGGGTGGCCAGGAGGCCGGCAGGCCTCCAAGCCCTGGCAAGTTTTCACTCTGGGCTTTTCTGGCATTCTTTTCTGTTCCTTCTCCCTTCTCTCCCTGGCCTCTCTCCTGTTTCTGCTTCCCTTGGCCAATATCTCAATACTCCTCCCATGGCCCACAGAAGTAAACCAGGCAGCTTACAACAATATAACAACTGCAGGTGCCCCATCAGGCAGGACAATCCTAATGGTGGGAGGGCAGAAAAGCCTGAAAGCCATTTACCCTTACAAGTCTACATATGGTTTGGGGTAAGAGGCACATATTAATCACGTTACTTCTTCCAATCCATGAGCAAAGAATATCTAATTTCCTTATATCTTCTTTCTTTTAGCAATGTCTTTTAGGTTTTATTGGATAGGTCCTTCACCTCCTTTGTTAAGTTTACTTCTAGATATTTAATACTTTTTGATGCTACTGTCCACCTTTCCAGACCACAGCTCTGAGTTTCCTCTCTCCATCTGCCTCCTAATTGATGTAGATGAATCTCCTCAGTGTCAACCCTGCTAATGTCTGCACTGTTCTCCACTGTCCAAGGAATAATCAACCCCAGTCCTACCTGGACTATCATGACAAACAATACCCCTCCAGTTGGCTGCTCCAAGAGTTACAGCCAATGAGGACTAGGCCCTGCTGGCGTGTCTGCTAGGACCTATCGCATCTGTGCTCCATGTCAGGGCCTGTACTACTGCTTGCCAGGGCCTATGGGCCTAGCCTGCTTCCAGGTCCTATCCTGGGACTCGATGAGGTCTGCAGGGGCTTACCTTGGTGGGGCTGCTTCCTGGTCCCGTCTCAGGATTTGCTGTGGTCTTCTAGGCCTACCACCTCAGGGTTGCTTGCCAGTTCCGCTCTGCTGCTTATGGGTCCACCAAACAGCCAGTGCTCACCTTGGCAGCCCAGGCTACCTGCAGGGCCTGTTCCACTCGGGGCTAGCACTCCTCTCCTACACATGCTGCTCCTAGTGGCTCCCGAATCATCTGTTTTCTATTCAGAAATGCTTGGATTTGTTCTGCTGCGGTCTGTGCACACATACAGGAAGGCAACCCAGCACCTCCACTTTGCTACCATTCTGCTCCTCTCCCCCAGAACTCAAAGGAAGAAAATAAGGCTATGGCCAGACCAGGTAACATGTTAAATTGTAACTGAAATTGTGACTAAGAACACTATACTGTTTTCATTTAATATCATCAGGCAAAGTATTGCCAGGACTCTACTAAATATAGGAAAATACAGCACAACTATTTCATAGGAGTTTTGATCAGTATTTTCCTTGAGGGTAAAATCAGATCATGGATAGATATGTTGACAAATCTCCAGGGACTTCTAGAAAGCATACCATTTCTGAAACATTTATATTAACCATATTTTATATACAAATTTAATTTTGGGAAAGCTGAATGTCTCTTCCAATTTGACAACTGATATCTTGCAACTCTTACAATAGTAAAACATGAAACTAAGCATCTCTCTTTATAAGGTGAAAGGACAATTCTTTGTGATTTCCAGGGGCTCTCTGGAGAATCTGAAGATAATTTTAGGTAGAAAAGGTATCTTGTTTTAGCATACACTTAAAAATAATTACAATAGTAAATTTAATGTTATTATAGTTTACTACACTAAAAAGATTTAAAATTATAATAAAGAATGCCTCTCACTCCCCAATTCTGATCTTATTTAATTTTTTCTAAATTTAACTCCAATTTGGGGAGGATTAAACAATTAATTAGAAATTTAATACTTCATTAAAATGGGGTCGTGAGTGGGAAACAAAAATTGATTACCATTTAATTTAGTCATGACACAGCATTTAAAAAAATAGATGGAAATACAGTGAAAAAGAATCTGTTCTTTCATTAGTGAAAAAACATTCTTTTTTCCCTTCTATATAATTAAGGAAAAATAAAGTTAACATAAAGCAGAGGGAATTATGCTGGTAAGACCTAGAACCTTTGCTATCCAGGCAGATTCCATAGGAAGTAATGATAACTTTTCATATTGTAGGTGAAGGCATTACTCACTAAACCAAATGCGACAAGTCCACCAAAATTGGGCAAACTTTGCTAAGATTTTTAACACATTGTAGAACTACTTTTCAGACACAAATATTATAAACTAAGGAAAATAGTCACTTTCCAAGTCATATCCTAAATTATGAATTTTTTATATTCAAACACAAACCAACAATTTACTTTAGAAAAAATATCAGGGGATTCCAAAGTCAAAACTAATTTTATACTAATACTAAGATTTACATTTGGGGCCTCCCCCGTGGCGCAGCGGTTGAGCACTGGGTTGCGAAGCTGCCTGCAGCCTCTGCAGTGCCGGTTCGATACCCAGCTGCTCTCAGGCCACCAGAGG